CTTTTCGATAGATTTTCCCCTTTTTGTATATACATGGTGTATATTTTTTATTTCGATGTAGTTCGGAAACATTGGGAGATGTCTGAGACGAAGAAACTGGGCCGTAAAGGCGAGTAACAGGATTAAGGGAGACATCAAAGGGATGAAAATTGCACTCGTCAGTCTCCCAGTCCTATAACTATATGCACGTCATTAACATACAAATGCCCAGGGGAGGGATAGTCATCATATTCGGTCCACTTGTCTTGTAACCAATCAACCCTATCCCATTACATCCCCCTGATGACAGTCCCAGTGATCAAGAAGGATGAGCTCTTCCTATGGCACTAAATTACTATCTAAAATATATGTGCATGTAGTATAATATATTATATTTGCGCGAAATGTGTAGTTTGAGTAAAATAAAAACTATTTTATGTAAACATTATTTTTTTAATAACTAAATTAAAATTAACTTTAAGCTGATTTTATAAACTAGAATTAAAATTTATATTTTAGAAAAGCATTATGTTATTATTTATTCACTTTAGACATTATGCATTTTGGTCATAATGACGCAATAATGTATAAGTACAATTTACGTGCGACCGTGTATATTTTACACAGTTACCATTTTTCCTATATTTTTTTTTTTATATCTAGATAGTATTATTACTATAAGTTTTCCTTTTGTGTTTGAAGATGAAAAGAAATCGTTGGGGATTTATACTTTATTATTATTCAACCATTCACCCTCTGTGCTCTGCGCATTAGCAAAATGGGAAAACGATTGTAAAATAAACAAAGAAATTTATCCATAAAATCCTATTTTCTCTAAATTAACAATTTTAAAAAGCCACTTAAACGATTATTATTAATTAATATTATTTATCTCGTTGAAACCATAATTAATAAAAAAATTATTGAAATAAATAGTATTGTGAGTATTAAAATAGTGTATAAATAGTAAGTAATAATGAAACTTATATTTCCAATATTAATTCAAAATACAGTATACTCGTAACTATACTGTATTTTGTATAAATTAAATATATATTTAATAGAATCATATAATGTATTATAATATTAAAAAATGAACTCATTGTTAAATCACTATTTATTTATTTTTTTACTTATTTAATTTAATTTTTTTTATAACTTATAACCTTTTTCATTAATAGATATGTAAGTTTAAAAAACAAAAAAAAAATAAATATTTCATAAAGAGTATTTATTTACATCGTTTAAAAATATCAAGGAAACATAAGAGAAATTGATTATTACTAAAAAAAAAAAACTAATAATAGTAAAAATGAAATGAATAAAGAGAAAATTTAAATTCCAGACATTCGATGGCCCTTTGCGTTCTTGCCAAAAGGCTGGAATACCCCTGTTCTACTATTATTTTACATACCTAAAAAAGTTGAAGTCTTTGAACCGTATGCGACAGCGGGTTTTTATGAAAAAAAAAAAGTATCCCACGTTTTTTTCTAAAGGGTCTTTTTTCTTATAGATACCGGACACTTTAATTTCCGTTCCTATGAAAAAAAAATCTGCTCATGCAAAAAAAAAAAAGAGGCATGCGGCTTTTCTTATAATATAATAAAACAACCAATCATTCTTGTTGTTTATTCATTATACAGTTCGAAAAATTATATAATGATCCTGTGCATTTTCGTTCTCGTGAGTGTAGTTGAGTGACCCTGTGACGACGTCCAATTAAATATTAAAAAAAATATGTTAGTGAATAAGTCAAGTGCTATTGAAAGGTATGATAATTGAAATGTTATTCTACTAGATATTCAAGTATTGGAGGGACAAAATATACAATTTTATTTAATGACTTAAATATATGTACCTATACGTATTATATAATTATTATAACTTATTGAATATTTACATTCTACAAGTTTTTTTTTTGGTATTGTTAAGTTAATTCAAACGTTTTAAGTATAATTTTTAAGAAGTATCAAATAGTAAATAGAAAATTAACTTTCAAAATAACCTGTTCAATAATACGTTATTTAATTAAATAGTAAATTTAAATATTGTCAACATTCTCTAAAAGCTTAACTTGTGTTTTTAATGTTTCAATATATTAATTTCATTATTATTTTTATTATTTAAAATTTTATAGGCATAATAAATGATTTTAAAAGTATTAAATGTCGTTCAAAGTAAATATGTTTGAAAAAAAATATTATTATAATAACTAATAAGTAATGGTTATTTTCCATCATTGTAAATAATTCTGCGACTTGATACAGCTAATACGAAATAATATTATTATTACAGATTTATATATTATAATCTACAAAAATAATTATTAATATATTATATCTCTGTAATAATACTGTTGGACTGTTATGTCCAGTTAAAATTTAAATAGACAGTTCATATTAATACAAATTATTATGATATATTCTATGAAATTATTTAAATTTTTGTAACCTTTTTCACAAAATGTTGTCTAAAAAGGTGATAATTTATTGACCTTGTTACAACGAGCTATAGTTTTATTTTATTATTTAATAGCCACATTTGTATGATACGTATACTTATATAAAATGTATATTTTACTCCGATGTTGTTATTTCAGGGAAAAATACTACTTAATATTAAAAATATGGAATAGTTATTTGGGCACATTTATATTGATTTATCATATAATATATATATTAGGCACTTATTGTTGTCATTATTTTATTTTTTATATTGTACATTTATCCAGTAAAATACTATCTAATTTTCCTGTAGGTAAATTTTGTATTTACAAAGTTGATTGACAGTTTAATTTGTATCACAGAGTATGTCATAGCCCAGATTTATTCCGAGTTTTGACAATGCACTTAACCGTGGCATTACTTGCGCAAATGATAAGAATCATCGTGCATATGGGCTTTATATATTACAACTGCACCCTCATATTATCCAACCCTCTCTTTTATGGAGCTTTCCGCTAAGATATTCATCGGTTCACATTGTTCCCGGAAACCTTTCACTGATCTGCAATCAGATCCTGATTGAAAAAGCGTGTGGGCGTGGTCCAACGGCTTTAAAAAATATGAATGTTATTGAGAAATTGTTTAGTATGGCTTGTTTTTGTACCTACGTATTATTTTTGGGGGGTTATTATTTTTTTTATTTTATTATTATTATTATTATTTTTTTTTTTTTTTTTATGCACAAAAGGACCATAAATACGTTGTCACAGGGTTTTTGGCATGTCCCCATTTACGTGTCTATTATTTAAGGATTAGTTGGGTAGATAATGGTAATGTTATTCTATGCATGGCGAGGACTTTGGTGTAAATCCTCGCAGCAGGACCACTTCGGCCGCAGGGAGTCCTAATGTTATTCTAATGAACGATGCTATGTAAAATATACATAAATTGGTATTACAATTTATAATGAATATGTGGTTAAATAAAATATTTATAATTCATTATATAATTATATTCACAACTCCCACGCTGCATAATATTATTCACTAGTAGAATAACAGTTCGTTTATTTCCTAAAAATATACCAGTATGAGAAGTAATAAAATTTACACAGAGCCAAATATAAAAATATTACTGAAACTGACAGGAAGTGAAAAAAATTAATATTGATACAATATTTAATAAACTGGTGTAATAAACATGAACGAAAAATACCGTTCCTTTATGATGTCGTGTGCTCATTCATATTGAGGTACGCGTGCCATCCAAGATATAACAATTATAAAAATTGATAGGGGACGATGACAAGATAAAAGGGACTTGACAATTGTATTTAAAAAAGCGCCCCTCTATATGTTTCACTAAATCCTTACTAGTGTGTGTATACAATGACAACATTTTTTAAATTAATATATAATGTATGTAGTTTAGATGAGTGATTATGTACTGAAAAAATTCATAACGTTAATAATTAAAAACTAAATTTTTAATACACTTAGGTAATGAAAATGAATATTTAATTATTGATTGTGGTTCATTAGATTCATTATGAATTAAAATTTTTTCTTTTATTCAATAAAATAAAATATGCGTAACATAGATATTTAAAATATACAATACAGCACAACGTTATTTTAAAACTATTATAGTATAATAATAATTTTACGTTCACAATTTTTTTTAACTACATACGTAAATATTCATTTTGCTTTATAATAAATAATAATAATAAATCATTTGAAGAAACTCCTTAATAGTTATTATTCTTATTTTAACGAGTTCCTTGTTGATAATTAAATTATGTTAGTAGTAATAAAAGTACAAAGTACACAGTAACAAACTTGGTTTTTTTAAACTAATATCATATTTCATTTATATACTCATTTAATAAGGAAATTGGCATTTGATGTGGTGTGAATTACGAATTGACCAACTCGGCGTGAGATCGAAAGACGTATCCGGAAATTATTAAGCTTAGGGTTCTAAACTTGATTATGTTGGAATTGACTTTATAACGTTTGTATTGATTAAATTATAGAATTACATACGACATTAGATCGTTTTAGTAAATGTTATTGTATTTGAAATTCCCATTTACAAAGTAAATACAGATTGTTGTATACGTTTTTGAAATATATATTTCATACGAAGCAAATTATACATTTAAATTATTTATTTAGGAAAATGTAAACTACATTTTCTTCTGATATATTATTTTATAAAACATTACGGAATATTTAAAAAAATATCTTTTTGAAGTTTAAAAAATAATCGTTATTAAAAGCGAATCAAATATGCCTTTGAGTCAAAGAGCTCTTTGTAACGGGGTAAAGTGCATTTATCTGTTGGGGCGGAGGCATTGCAACATCAAAGAGACATACATCAAAGGTCCTGTTCTCCTACCATAATATATATAATGCGGTGTCGACTGTGGAGTTCTCTGTCAAAGTTGCTTTGTTCTTTGGCCTTTCCAAAAGCTATCTCCGTTGTTGGTCTTTGATGTCCGTCCATCTCCTTTTACTTATATATTTGGAGTGAGCCAGTCTGCCAGTTTCAGTCGCGTCACAGTCGTCGTTCGTGCGATATGTCCGCCGCTAGGAAGTAACTGATGATGAAGATGAAAACTAGAAAGCAAGTCTTTATAAAAAAACCAGTCAAAGTTCGAATCGCTAGCGAAGCTGATATTATTAAGAAACTGGAAATTTGGTACACGCGATGGACGAAGAGTATTGGGCGACCTCTTACTCCACTAAACCTGAAGAAAAAGACCATAATGCTATTAAAAACGCTCAGAGTGTCTACAGATATCATATCTATAATCACGCTAGATTGGATTAAAAAGTTTATGAAGAATCGAGGTAACTTGGAAGGGTATGATGATGATGAAATCTATGCTGGACTATTGATTCCTTTTGATGTCAATGGTATTCCTGATGTTACATTTAACACTACCATAAATCCAGACCGAAAAGTGTGGCTACTGATGGCCGGAAACAAAAGTGGAAGACACAGGACCAGAGTATTGGTTATAGGTAAGAGATGGAGACCTCCTTGTATGGAAACTGTCAATATGTTGGGTCAACCAGTGATATATGCAGGGGGGGGTGATGGTTTTCCTACACAAGATTTATTTAAATGGTGGTTCGAAACAGAATTTTGTCCAGCTGCTCTATCTATCAATTCAAAAGCTGTGTTGGTTATGGATAAAGCATCTTTTATTCCAGAGAAGTGTGAATATAACGGAGTTTCTTTACAAAATCACGACGGAGATTCAATTTCTAAATCTACATTATTTATTGAATTCAAAGCTACATACACAGCTCTACTTCTTACTCAGGCAGCTTTAGATCAACAATCCGAACGATCAATACAAAGGTTTTTGGAAAAATACACGTTAAAAGACGCATTTATTTTATTACATAGAGCTTGGTTACAAGTCACCACAGAATCGTTTTCGACTTGTTGGAAAAATTGTGCATATACATCAGCACTAAAAGGTATTATTTTGGGTGTGCAGTGGTTAGCTCATGATCTTGGACTGGAAGTATCTGACGAAGACATGTTACTTTGGATTTTATCTAACCCTGTGGAATTTACTGAACCGGAAAATTTATCTACGGATTCTGAGGACATTGAAATTCCACCTTCCGCTACTCAAACAGTGGATTACTTAAAAAAGGCGTTATTATGGGTCGAAACTCAACCACTTGAACCGTCGTTTGTTATTGCGATAAGGGATTTAATAACTTATGCTAAACAGGCACGTATTGTATGCGCTATAACTACATCTTGTAATTTCAAAACGAGCAAAAAATATATTTTCAAACGATGCTGGCACGAAAAATGGTTTATTTTTTACATTAAAATATAAATCAAACTTTTTTTTTTTGAAAAATATCATTTTTGGTTGAAAGATTTATCTGTTTAGTACTAATATAAAATTGTATTAAGTTAATTTTTTAAAATCTTATTATGTTACAGGCAAGCAAGATCGGTTTAGGACCAGCCCATCCGTTCTTTTGCCACAACGGCGAGCAGCTGGGTACCCAACCACCACCCGCCCATATGGGCATACCTCCTTACCAACTTGACAAAGCACCCGGTGAGTACATTTTTTTTTTTTTTTAATATCGATTTTTATTCTCACCCTTTAAGCTAAAGAACCCCTAAATATGAGTGCGTGTAGACATTGACGAAGCCAATCCTTTAAAAAGGCCTGCGGTGAAAACAATACCGTTATGCCATGATAATTACGGTGACACAAAAAAGGGGTTTAAAAAAAAAAGTCCTCGACTTTTTAACAATTATTTTGCTCGCCCCTATGGCTATACATAACGAACCTCCTGGTCAAATTTTAATCGGTCTCTCATTTGTACGTTTTATATATTTTAATTGAAGTAAAGTTCTGAGTAAAAGTATACTACTTTTTTCTCGTATATAAGCCTAAGTATGCGTCTAAGAGTGTGAAACGTTCAAGTATGTAGAGCTCAACATCATAGTACTCTCGACCTAATTTTTTTGTATATTTTAAGTAATTTATATCATTTTTAACTACGTATATGTATTTATGTATGTATTTATTATACAAATACATTATTAAATGTAGAGTACAAAACATATATATTAATTTATATATATTACATATGTTAATAAAACAATTTGTTCATAAACCATAATATATATTGTATTAGATCATTGTTTAATTAAAATAAATACCTAGGTTTATAAATATTCATCAAAACTATATGCATCTATGTAATAACACAAAATACTATACTTATCTACAGATATATAATTTTATTTTTACCATAACATTATTTATTACAGATTACAAAAAATGTAAATAGTTATTATTTATGAATATCATAAAAATTACAATGAATATGATTACTTTTATAACACTTTGTAGAAGGTTTTATTGTTAGTCTTAACATTACCAATATAAAAAAATCCATAATATACAGAATCAATACCTCTTGTTTTTAGTCGAGTGGCCTTTCAAAAATCTAAACGCATTTTAAAACCCTTTCTTTTAACATCGCCCGAATGGTTTTTCTATTATATCAACAATTTAGATGGAACCAAATGGCACGTTTATTCGGTTCACTGAAATAAAAAATATTCAATTAAGTACAAATTGTATAATACAATTTTATTTAGTTAATAAAATAAATATTGAACGTTGCTTAAATTTATTTAAAAAATTTAAATATACTTAAAAAAATCCTAATATATTTATTATTATTTATTTTATTTAGGACTTCCAAGGCCTTCTATGTACCCATTTCCCACAGGCCAGTACCCTTACCCATTATTAAGTCCAGACATGTCACAAGTTGCAGCCACATGGTAAGTACATAAAATTTGTTATTATTTTTAATTATTTTTTTTTTAATTCAATTGCATAGTTGGTATATTATTTATATAAGTTATTTTTGTTATTATGATGAAAAACGTTCTAAATATAATTAAATAAATATACTATTTTAAGTTAAATAGTTTTACGTGTATATCGTTTATATTTCCATATAAAACCATTTTATATTTTAAGAAAAAAAAATATTTAATCAACTTTTTATTCTACAATCAATACAGATGGTCATAATTTATAAATTAAATAATATAGCAATAATCATTTTCATAATGAATGTTTTCATAGATAAATATGTATTAAAGTAAAAATAAAATTTTTTTTTTTAAATTCTATCAAAATATTTCCGTTGAATAAATAATAGTCTTAACTCCTTAAGTCATAACTAATCATTATACACTGTGAATATTAAAAAAAAATTAATTAAATTCTTAAAAATCGTTTAAACTCCTAACTATTATGTGTGAACTATCGAAAGTAGTGGGGCGTGGTCAGTTGACGCCCCGTGAAAACCTTTAATCTAGTTTGTCCACCACACACTAACCCTTGTTTGTTCTTATTCCGGTCAATTTGTTACCAGGAAAATCGGTTTTCTCCCCTCATTTTTTTTTCTCAGTTTGGGAAATCAATCGGCTTTTCGTAGCCAACGGCTTCCGTAATTCAACAGAAACGATCTCTTTACTCCCTCACAAAACTTATCTAAGCCGCTTTTCTTCCACTATGCTTTTCGTCCTTACTTTTACTGATACTTTTTCAAATAATAGGGTTTAGCTTTTAGATTACCTACACTGTTTTTTTTTTTATCGTGTTTGCTTTTTATTTTTTCAGGCACACACCGGCTAGTATGTACCATCAGATCTCATCGGCTGGAACTGGTTTCAGAGGATCCTACCCACCTTCTTTAGGAACAAGCCTTACTAGGTGAGTTAAAACCATTATAAGTTTTAATATATGTTCTTCGCCAACGCATTTAATCTGTCTAAATGTTTATCTGTTCAATTAAAGTATTAAACTTTAATTAACTTAGTATGTTATGAATAGAAAATTTACCTTTACGTTTAATATATTACATTTTAAACATTTATATAGGTAAACGAAAAACTTAAAAATTATTGTATTATGACTAAAAGCGATTGTATAAATAATTTATACAGTGGTTTATGTGGTTTAATTGTTGAAAAAAATGTTCAACCTACTAATTAAAAAATAAATTACTTATAGTAAATGAAATATCTTTAGAAATTCAGATTAATATACACCGTCGTTACTCAGGATCGTTTTTTGAATGCAATGATTTGTCAATGTTTTCAAATTAACCACATCTATCACAGTGACCTTCTCAGCGATCTATTGACTTAATATTCAATATACTTAATAGACATCCCCATTTTTAAAATGTATTTGCAAACTAATTTGTATATGTACAATGTATATAGTACTTGGTATTAAATGTATGTATATATATATATAACTTTGAATTTAGTGTTTATAGGTGTATTACATATCAACTTAAAGTTTTCTATAATACTATAATAGTTATTTTAGTCAGAGTGCATTCTATAATTGATCGATTAGCATTATTTTATCATACATTTAATGTTTTTATACCTATTAATTATAGCATATTAGAAGAATGTAAAAACAATTTCATTTTTTTTATGTTAAAAATAAATATGTTTTAATCGATTTTATAATATGATAGTCTTTTGTTTGACTTTGTGAAAAAAATACCCTTGTAAATATTTCATAACAAAAAAAAAATTTCCAATAAATTGTAAAGTATAAAGAAATCCATTTTATGAAGTTTATGCAAACATAAAATATTGAAATGTTTAAAATCGATAAAAATGTATTGTGTAATTCTATTTTTATAATTCTTTTTTTAAATTTAGCTTTGATATAAAGTCATTGTATTAGTTTTGTATCAGATACAGCGGTTTTCCAAACTGTGGTCTGCATCTATATCAGAGCGGGTCACATTAAATATATTTTAAATGGTATAAAAACAATAATACAAATGTATTATTTGTATCACATTAGAAAGTATACTGTTAAATATAAGTATACCATCAAGTGTAAGACAAAACTATTCAGAAATATAGAAAATGAATCAGATTTAAAAATCTTACTATGTAATTTATATATACATCATAATATAGCCGATTTAGTAGCAAAGAAACACCACCCATCACATTGAATTTTTATTTTAATAATTTTACAAATTTATATATTTATCTATTTATTTTTCTTTTCAATTCAATTTTGTGTTATAAAAATAGTATATTATTATTATTATTATTTATTATTGTTTTAATTTTTATTAAAAAAATCAACCATTTTTTGTATCTCTTGTGGATTCAGCGGAAGAAAAGTTTGAGAAACGCTGCTTTATTTGAAATTAGTACTCGTATAAAAAAAACGATATAATAATCAAAAATTACTAAACATAGTGATAATTATCTAATATTGCTTGTAAAATGTATGTAAGTATTTAATTTATTAAAATCGGATGTTTAATTTACGTTTATTAATAACACTTAACAGCTTTTTTTTTAATGTATTATATACTGTTAATAAACGTTATATAAATTAATAATATTTCGGGTATTATTTTTTATACCATAAATATTATGATATTGGTATAAATTTCATACTTTGAGTTTAATTAATTTACTAATTGTACGGGTAAAATACGCTTTACTTAAACGAAACTGTCTTAAATACATCTTTGTAATTTATGTTTAAACATTATATTTATAACAAAATATTACGTATTTTTATTTCAGTGAGCTGTATAGGTTTTCACCAACGGGACTGATGAGTGGTCCTTCACCTCATCATCATTTATCCCATCATACCCATCATTCTCATCCTGCGATTGTAACTCCAGGAGTGAGACAAGATCTGCATACGGATTCTAATCACAGGTATTTTTTCAGAATTTTATGTTGATTACTCTTTATTTTAGTTTTACAAATGAAAATAAAGAGGAATTTGCTTTTAAGCTGCCTCGGGGAAGGGGTTTTTTGCTGGTTGAATAAGCTCTTTAATTGCAGTCATACTATGGTATAGTATGAATAAAAGAGGGATGGATAGGGGGGGAATTTGCATGTGGATTACAAACGATAGGGAGCTTTTTTTAAAACGCTCTCATTGGTAGTTTTCCGAGTGATGGTATCCATGGTTACGAATTTATCGAACGCGCCCCTTGTTTCAGCCAGGGATTCCCCGTCTCTACTTGTATGTACTCTTTTATTTATTTTTATACTTTACCCTTTTGAAAATGTCCAAATGATTCAACTTGAGCACTTAAATTGTAGGTACTTCGTTAATTTTGATGTACATATTCTGTTTACTTTTTGAAGTACCTAAAACATTTGCGGAAGATGTGCTTTCAGTTATATAATTAAAAGTTATATTTTTACATCTTTATTAAGAATGCAAATCATTGAATTTAGTTTATAATGGCTTATATCGTTTATATAGAAATTGTAAATTATAAATTGTGTTTGACTAATTACTGAGAATGTTAAATAAATCTTGCTCCTTAAAAGTATTTAATTTTTATAGTATAATTATTTTAATGTTATTACATTTGTTTAATTTATTTATACGTGTAATAAACCTTTAAATTTATTATAACATTGTCTTACAAAAATAATGAATTCGTTTTTTCTGTGACAAACCACATACGTTCTCATTGAATTTTGTAATTTATTTTATTACATAATAATTCATAATTAAAATTTGTACACGCCTATACTGATGTAATAAAAAAGTATAAAAAAAATAAAAATATTTATCCTTTTATAATCACTTATATTTGAGGTCTATAGAATTTGAATATTCTACTAACATACAAAAAGTCAATAAACATTACTTAGTATGCATATATACCTATACCTACATAAATGATATAACAGTATATTATACATTTAATGATTTATAAAATGTATAATATAATAAAACTTAATAATTTACAAACAAAATTGTTTGTTACATTTCAATTTGAATTTATCATTAAATATTTACGTACAATTAAAAATAATAATAGTTTATGATTTGTTAATATAATATAATTCTTTAATTGCAATAAATAATATATTTTTGTTTTTATCTAAAAGTATTGATTGATTTGAAAGATAAGTATTACCTATTTCTTAATTTCCATAACAACTATATACTGTATGGTGTTTATTAAACGTAATATATCGAGTTTTTCAATTACCCATTGGCATTTGTTGACACTTACGAGTTTTAAATTATCAATTATCTAATATTATTATTTATTTAAAATTATACTACCTAATAATATCATTAATTTTATCGACCTTGATAAAAATAGGTACTGTATTCGTATGAGACATTAAATTAATTTGTGTTTGACCGAATAAGTTTCTTTGATATTAAAGTACTAAAATAATATAATACATAATTTATAAAATAGTTAATTTTCTACAAATAATAATAATCGATAGGTAGTTAAATGTCAATGATAAAATATTAATTTTAATTTTTCTGTATCAGCTTTAAAAAATATATTATTTGTTGATTACATTACATGAACATTTATAAATACTAGAATACCCGTGGAAATATGGCAATACATAATATTATGCATATTATTTTATGAGCGTTTTTAATATAGATTAAATAAGTTTATTTTAAAACCCATCAGGTATAATAAATGTAAAATGAAAACACAACTTTTGATATTTACATATAAGTTAAAAAAAAAAAATTATATAGTACATTATAAATATGTCGGTATTACAATCACTAAATAATCTTTTCATGATTTGTAATTAAAATTGAAATTATTGCATTTAAAATAAGATTATAATATCTTATAACTTTTTATTTATTACAAGGATGCGTGTGTGTTGTACTGTTGAATCCGTCTTACAAACGTAAAGCGTATTAAATTTAAGTTTAGCTGATTGAACCAATTTTCTGTCAATAATTAAAATGTTAGAGTAAATTGTCCTATTATAAAACTTAGAGGTAAGAACATTTTCGGTTATAAGTATATGTTATTTTTTCGATATTTTAATTTTTAGCGAGGCATGAGTGTTATTGATTTGTGATATTTCACAATGCTTGGAAATTAAAATATTGAATTCAAAGTCGACGCATTAACACATAAATATTTTATCTTTAAGTTTGATAATAAATCATTTCACTCTATAATATAGAGTTACTAGATTATATTTTCTCGATTCCGAGACATATTATATAAAAATTAAAAACCTATTATTCATATTATTTACAAAATATTTTTTAAATAATGGTTTACATGCGTTTTCAATCAAATTTTATGGCTAAGTTCAGTAAAAAAAAAAAAATCAAAATGATTCATTGATCAGTCTTTGAAACTTTCGGACTCCATGGTTTATCTTGTGAATTTTATCAAATATTTAGCTAATCTATGAACTTGTCTAAAAAATATGAATTCTCTTGGCAATTTTTCTATAAATCTACGTAATCGTTTACCGCACCAAGTTGATGGCATTGGCATTATGAAGTAAAATATGTTATGAGATAAATAACACACACTAAATTATTTAATCAAAACAAAATAAATATTTTACACAAACGAAAACCTAAATTTAGATGACCGTAGTGATTTTAATAAAAACCATTAAGATTAATTATTACTAGGTTAATAAATTTTGATATGAGCATATAAAGTCTAAAAATAAATTACCTATGATTATCGTGCGAACAATCATGAATTTTGTTATCACTATAATGTGTAGAACGATAATGTTTTCTCCTAATTAAAAATTGGTATTTTATGGAGTAAAACTTTAATATCTGGACAAATCTGAAATCACTGTCCCGAAACATTTTCTCGCCGAGACACTTGGTTAAAAATTGGAAATATTCCAACAAAACGAAACTTTACTATAGTTAAAATCTAAGAACACAAAATGGTTTGGCTTAACTCATAATTTGATATTTTACGTTTTAAGATTGAAATAACACGTGCATATGTAGCGTAATCCTCAATATTGACTTTCTTTTCTTGAATTCTCGTTCGCGTAATACGGTTATGCAAAATTTTCTATCCTAATTTTAATATTAAACACTATAAAACATGTTATAATACACTACGTTAGTATATTTTATTAACGATGTTTCTAGTCGCTCGAATACGTTATTATTATGAAAATATATACTACAACTCTATCTGGTAACTATAATGCTTCCACTGATAGAAATAACTTTTAAAATCGTATGTGCCATCTGTCGGTAACGATTTCATCCCCTAAAAAGTCGCCATCTCGGAGAATAATGTCGAATAACACTTATAGTGAAACGCCGCCCTCTGTGTCGACATTATTTCTGTCGTGTACCCAAACGGATACACCGAAGCCAATGCAATTTAACCCGTCCGGTATTTGGGGTGGGGGTGGAAAACAACGCGAAATCTTTACGTTCGAGTCGTCACGAAACGATCTAATCATAACGGCGTGGAAAGCTCGGCAACGCTAATTTCTCAAATATACTATCGACGGAAAGAGTTCGTTTTGTACACATCTCGCGCCGAGTCAAAAAAACCGCGGTTCGCACGCGCGCGTGCGCGTGCAAGTGTGGTACACTTGCGCGGTGACAATCTTGTTGTTGTTGTCGACGTCGGGACTTTTATTTTTTTCGTACACCAAAGGGTGGTATGAATGACGTAACGCCGTCGGCATTCCATCATTATTGACGTTTATGGGCAGAGCTCAGTGACCCCGCCGGGGTTATTGGTCGGGCCGGGGTATAGCTGTGTGCTTAGTGAGGGTGTGGCGCCGCCGGTGTAGGGGAAGGGGAACAAGGGAGAAAGACAAATGTCGCGACGGCGGCGGCGACGGCGGTGGGACTGCGCGAGAATATAATATTATATAATAATATCGTTGTTCGTGTTTTTCTCTCGTTCCGGCGGATATTATTTGTCGTCTCGGTTCCTCTCGATCATTGTGTCTTACGACCGCGTCGCTACGTCGCGTACGAGCGCGAGTGAGTGTGTTAAGTGTTCAAAAGCGAATCGGCCACAGGCGCGACGCGTTTTCGCCCGTTCGTCCGACGACGACGAGAGTATCGCTGTGGTGCTGCCTGTGCCATGTCGCCGCCCGTACGCCGTCCACGAACGGTGGCCGGCACGCGTCGTTCGCGCCGTTGTGCCGTGTCGTCGTCTCTACCGTTTATCTGTCCGCTAGGAACACGGTCGTAATTACACTACAACTATAACGTTATTATTATTGTTGTTATTATTATTACAATAACATCGTTGACGTGTGTGCCGTTTGTATTAACGGACGACGCGCGATCTCGTCACACACATGGAACCGCTGAACCTCGTGAAACGCAAAAACCGACCGGTGGCGGTGGTCGCCCCGTCCACGGTGGTGTCGCCACCCGTCATGGCGGCCGCCACGGCACCCGTGTTCCCGTCCGGCCTGCTGTCCAGCTTGTACATGAACAGTATGCTCAACGATCAACTGTTCCAGCGGGCAGCCGCGGCCGCACAGTACGGTACCACCGGCGCCGCCTCGTCGTTCTGGACACCGGCTAACAGGTTCTGGCAGGTGATGCAGCAGCATAACTCGGCCGCACAACAGTACGCGGCTGCCGCCGCAGCCGCAGCCGCTGTTGTCGCGGCCTCCGCCACTACCTCCACCGCCACCGCTTCCGCCGCCAGTATCGTCACTGCCACCACGTCCAAAGCTTGCTCTTCCTCTTGCTCGTCCTCGTCGACGTCGTCTTCCTGCACCGCGACCGTCACCTCGACGGCAACTGTCGCATCGTCGTCCGCCACGAACAAGGACGATAGAAAGAGATCGGTTTCGCCCACCAATTCGTGCAGCAGTTCCGCAGCTCGGTTGGTCTTTTGGTCGCCATTTAAAAAAAAAAATTTTAAAAAACATAATCCCTAATAACCGTTTTCGCGCCAATTTTGCGTATAAAATAAACTGTGTAGACGAGTTTTGAGGCTTTCGGGGGCTAGCATGCGATAGATTTCTTAATCTGTTTAGTCGATACGGTAAATACGTAACTACCGTATTTATACTTCACACTCGGATAATTGTCGTTTTTTCGATTATCTCATTAAAATCGAATTAGTATGCAGTACTCAGTACTATATATACGTAACTTAACAACTAATGTTGTTTTTACTTAATTTTACTCACATACACTATTATATACCTACCTTGTACACGGTAATATGATGTTTTGCTTTACCAACGAACGTTATTTTTTTCAGGCCGCAAAACGATCATAGTAAAAATTCTTCGTGCTCAGACGGTTCCAAGCACCACGATACTGTCCAAAACAGTAATAACCAAGGTAATGTCTTATTTTATAGCACTGCACGTGGTTTCGTGACCGATGTACCTGACTTAAATATTTTTATCTGGTTTTATGAACCGTAGATAAGAAGAAGCCTCACATAAAGAAACCTCTGAATGCGTTCATGTTGTACATGAAAGAAATGAGGGCAAAGGTGGTGGCGGAGTGTACGCTCAAAGAGAGTGCAGCGATCAACCAGATATTAGGGCGACGGGTAAGTGTCCATAAAACATTTTTTATAGTATATATTGGTGTATACTTATATATTTGTTTTGAAATAATAATGAAGATATAGAGAATTTGTTTTTTTTAAAAAAAAAAGGACAATAATAATAATTAAAAAGATAATAATTACAATAATAAGTGGGAAAAAAACCGAACTGAAAAAGTGGTTTTGTGTAATATAGTGGCACTCTCTGTCGCGAGACGAGCAGGCCAAGTACTACGAGAAAGCGCGCCAGGAACGACAACTCCATATGGAACTGTATCCTGGTTGGAGCGCTCGGGATAACTATGGATACGGCGCCAAGAAGAAGAAACGGAAGAAAGAGCGCGTACCGGTCATAGATGCTGGCTCAGGAGGTAGTCCCTCGTTATTAATCGGCATTTTATTTTTTTATTTATTTATTTTTTGTTTTTCGTGTCCACGTGCAAATAGCAGCATGCAGTACCGATCCAGGCTAAAGATTTTTTTATACCTCAGTTTTTTGTCATATTTATTTTTATATTCCCAATAAAATATAAAGGATAACTTTTGTTTTTACATATACCCTTGGTTAACTCCTGTGGTGCGCTTATTTAATCAATTCAAAAGTACTTTCTGGCTGGTTGACTGACTGACTGCCTTTTATGGATATAATGGTTTTTATTACGCTGTTGTTAAACCTATAAATTACGTTATTTCCAAGCCTGTACCAGTATTCCCACAACAACGAACTTATGTATTCTAATGACAACTCTTATTTAGATTATTTAAAATATGTAGTAACTATATATTATCCGCGGTGTACTTGTGAAAGAAAAATAACAAGACATTTTCCGGGTCTATACAAAATAATATGTATAATATATATATACAGTATCATATCGTTCGGCGTGCGCAGGACGCCAAATCAAAATACTAACATTCACGCCAAAATCCATTTATATGTAATAATATAATCATACATAACATTTACACCATTATACATTCGTATATCAACGAACCATTTGTCTAAAAATTTGTTAAAACGTATCTGCAGTAAAATTCTATATACTCGCACTCCATTCAGCCACTCAGAACTATATACAAACCAACTTATCTTACACATCTGTTGATTTTACAATAACTTAATTTACGTTAAGTATATTTTAGCCGCATGTTAGATGGATGATTTATTGTGGTCGACATAAATTGTGTCTGTATGTGCATCTAACCCGAACGACATGTTTTTATTCATATTTTTATAAATATATATACACATATATTATATACTATACACGTTTATATACATATATCATGTGTATATAAACATTAAAAATCGTCATAATATACTAACTATATATACTTATATATTAACAATCTTATAGCCTGGTCGTAGCTCGAGCATAATGGTCAAAACGAAATGCGTGCTTGCCGGTGATCGTGCACCAAACAAGATATAATATAATTTTATATACTATATATAGTTTGGGATGTTTTTTTCGAAAAACAACTTTTTTGGTAGCTTGCTTTTAACGTTTGTTTTATCCAAGAGATTTTTTTCACAAGAACTTTGCCGTACAAACACACGTTTAGCTCCAAATAATTGAACAGAATGTTTTTATTTTTATTTATTTTTTTACAATACTTTTTTAAGGAGAAACGATAAATAATAACAATAAATACATAGAATCATAAAATAAAATCATTTATTTTTTGTTCTTTTGTAACCAACTAGGTGATACTCTTTCTTCCGTTTTAATTCTTGGTGGTAATAATTTGTACGAAACAAATGTATACCTAGTGTTAATCTTTTTTTATTTTTTTTATTATTTTTTTTTTTAACTCATTACGATTTGTCACCTTACATTTGTGTATCTGTGTGTGGCAATATAGTGGCACGCGTTAGGTCGCGAAGAACAGGCCAAGTACTATGAGCTGGCGCGTCGTGAGAGACAGATACACATGCAGCTCTATCCGGACTGGTCGTCGCGCACTAATGCGACACGAGCCAAGAAGAGGAAGCGCAAACAAGAAACCCATGATGGAGGTAGAACCCAAAAAAAAAAAAAAAAAAAAAAAAACAAATAAAACAAAAAAATAATAATAATGTGGAATAAATAAAATTGTCATATTTTATTTATTTTCTATCTTCATATTTTTTTTATTTTTAATAATTTTACGCTAATGCGTTCGTTTCCTGAACATTAGACGCTTTTTTGATGCACGTTCCCCCTATATATTTATATTTTACCGAGATCAGAAAAGAAAGCGAACACATAATTTGTTTATTTGTTGTTGTTTAATTTTGGAGTTTAACGAGGTGTTTGTCTGGCGCAATTATATATGCATGGTACCCAAAATAAGGCTATTTTAAAAATAATGGTTGTTGTATTTTTTTTCGTATTTTGCTTATGAACGCCTATGCTTTAAAAACAAAATAAATAAATAATAATTAAATTGATCTTCTATAAAACTAAAAAGATCCTATTTTTAATTATTTTTATTTTTATCAAATAGGTAATAACAGCATGAAAAAATGCCGTGCAAGATACGGACTCGACCAGCAGAGCCAGTGGTGTAAACCTTGCAGGTAATTATATTAACAGCGATAATATTTTTCCATAATCAAATAATTAATGTAGAATAATTTCATGAGTATATGTCTAATAAAAATACTTGTCCTGGCTCCCGTGATATCCTCGTTTTTAAATCAATTTTAGTATTTTTCATGTTTACACCAATTACACCTACGAAACATAGAATTATTACAACTTTCTAAAATTTGCAAATAACTGTAAATAGAGCCAACTTCTTTTAGGAAAACATTTTTTTTATAATATAGTCCACAACAACATTGTTAAAATAACTATTGTAGGTATTCGATTTATCAATTTCAAAAAAAAAATTCTTATTAGTTTAAGTTTTAACTATTCAATTACAATGTCTTGTTTTTCACATATTTCTTATTATGTAATATTAGTATATTACATAATATCTATTATCTTTTTTTTCATAGATAAATCGTTTACAAATTTTGTAATATTCGTTCATATATTTTTCAAATCATTCTGTATGATTTTAATTTCATATCAGTACTGTTATTTAAAACAAACGACTTACGTTGATCATTTGTATTAATTGCCGCAAACCTATTCAGAAAATGTGTCTTGCCAGAGAAAAGTAATCTTAATGATAAAGCTTTAAGCCTATTAGCTTAATCCTTAATACAAAGCTTTTTAACCATATCAGTCTGAAGCACGGAAATACTTTATGTTTAAAAAATTATACAGATTGCCCACTTTTTTGAGTAATTTTAGAGCATGTAGACACATTTTCTGAATATATTTAGTAAAATATATATGTATACTTTGATTTGTTTACTAAAAAAAATAAATTAGTGAGACATCCAGAATAAACAGTATTAAAAGGACTTTGTATCATAAAAGTCCATTTTTTTTCGTTTAAAATTCTGGAAGTCATTGTGTAGTGACATTTTATTATAATACGTAGGTATGTAAAAAATAAGGATACTTATAATATTGTGGAATTTTGTACTATACTTATATGTATTGTGTGTATGACGACTGATATGGTTTGTAGCCCTGACGGAGCAGGCGGAGGAAGCATCTTAGCACAACACGTTCACGGCCCTTCCAACGCTGCTTCCCCACAGGGGCCCACATATGTTAATCTGTAAAAAAAAATACAAAAAACAAAAAAAAAACAAAAAAAAACAATTCCAAATTATAAATAACCCAAATAATCATCAATTTCGTGAGTTCATTTTCCCTATATGTTAATGCGTGTGTTTATATATTTTTTTATTAGTATTGACGATGTATTATTTTGTTGTATGCGCTTCGTCCATCAATTTTTACTCATTTTTAACTTTTAGTTTGTTGTTGTTGTTGTTGTTGTTGTTTTTGATTTTGTCACTTTTATTATTATTATTTCTATTGCATTAACGATTTTTTTTTTTTTTTATAAACATTTTATCACCTATACTAATTATAGTAAGCTACTTAATTATTGTAGGATTTGTTTGTATTTATTATTGGTTTACGACAATATAGATTAGCGTAGACAATTAATTGTGTGTGATCCCTTGTTGTTTTTAGCTAGCAATTTTAAAAATATTTCAAACTCCTCTCATAAGAAAAGAAAATATTTCTTACGTTCCACTCGATTTTTCATTCTACTCGTACGAGTATGTAGACTATTGAGCATCAGTATTAACAAAATATTATCGCTACTATTTTTTAACAAGATTTTTTTGTTAATCTATGTCTATAAAATAATAATAACCAGAATATCAGAATTATTTTTTAACATCAACAATTTTTTCATAACTATTGTTTGCTGTCGTTATTAATTTTCGCGGCTCAAGAAAAGTAGAACTGTAGAAGGTTCACGAATGTATAATGCTCTTTTACTAAACATAGACAATCATTATTGGTTTTATTAAAGTCTTTACATAAATTTTTTATTTTATAAAAGTGAGGGGAATTTGAATATGAGTTTATTTCTTATTTTATTTTTATTTTTTAAATTTGCATATAATTTTATTATTATTATTATTATTATTAAATAATACCCACATTTTCTGAGGGTTGTGCGTGCGTTATATTTTTACCGCTAATATTTTTACGATTTTTATATTTTTATTTTATTTTTTCCTATCTATAGTATTATAATATTATACGATGCGCGTGTATAAAATATTATGTATAGAACAGGGCGTGTATCCGGACGGTTCAACAATGATTACAATATTGCTCATCATTGAATCGTCAAATGCTCCGCGGTTACACTCTCTACACGACATTTAAGGCAGAGGACACATGTAGAACACTAAATAATTGTTTTCCTAGCGCGGCATAAATATTATGAATATTGCGAATAAAAATCAATTGAATAACATCAGTTGTGAGACAATAACCAATAGTTAAATAAGGCACGCGGACATAACGCCTGGCGTACGAGTGTACGTGAACAAAAATACACAATCAACTATCGGCGCTACTGCCGTTGTGCGAGCGGAGTCTTTCAAATAACCAAACGGCGGTAAAAAACTGATTGCCGTCTCGATAAATTTTTTTTTAACAATACGCGCAAAAATACCAACTCCCCCCTTCGCCCACCACGAAATAATATGCCTTAAAAATCCCCAAAAAATACTCCTATTATGAATAGGTGCCTATGTGACACGAGATAATAACTACTAACTTTATCTTGTAAACAACTTAATCGGTAATACGTCCGCGGTAAACGTGTGAAACAAATTTGTGTTTTACGAACGTGCAAATTATATCTCAAGTCCTCTGCCTCAAATCAATGTATACCTATATATATATATATATATATATTATGCTTACGCGTATCTGTATAATTTATAACATTATGACGTGTTTTAATGTTATTCTCTTGACGTCTTATCGTGACGACGACGATGTCCGTCGGTCACGGTGTGATTATTCATGTACTAACGGTTGCTCGTACGCGGTTTTCTAGGCGCAAAAAACGTTGCATACGGTACATCGAGAGCGGCGGCGACTCGGGCAACCAGTCGGACGACAACCAGTCGACGGGCAGCTTGGGCCACTCGGACAACGAGGAGGCCGACTCGGCGTCCAGCCCTGGCGGCCTGAGCGCCCTGTCCAGCCTGACCAGCCCGGGCATGCTAACGCAGGCCAGCCTGTCCCCGGCCACGCCGCTCACGCCGCACGTGTCCGAGTACGAGTGCCCGCCGATGGCGGCGCGCATGCCGCTGGCCGTGGTGGTGCCCACCAGGCACCACCAGCCGGTCGGCACCAACCCGCACGACATCAACAACCCGCTCAGCGTCAACCAGCTGACGGGCGGCGTCGTCAACAACAAGTGCCATAACAACCCCAGGGAGCAACACCAGCACCAGCAGCAGCAGCAGCAGCACCATCAGCATCAGCAGCAGAACGATCTGAAAACCGTGCCCAACAACCCGAACAACCAGCCCGAACAACAACAACGCCCCAACAATAACAGCAACCGGACGCTGCCCGCCATCAGCGTGACGTAGCGAAGCGCCCGGGCGGCAGTTTGCTTGATAACGATGTAGTGATAATAATGTTGTTGTTACGTGGTGTATGCTACGATACTATATTAAATATGATGTTTTTTATTATTATAATTATAATTATTATTATTATTATTAATATTATCGACCCACCCGCTCAATTTATCGTATAGTTTTTCTTGTTATTCTCCGCGCGACGACGATAATATGCGCGCGCGCACGATACGAACGACATATTATTTGATATTATGATGTATTACGGTTGTACACGACGTTTGTGATTTGATGTCAGATTTGGCGCGATGTAGCGTACCTGCCGATAACGATACCGCGCGTTTTGGGGAGGATCGTCAGGGGTGACCAAAACGGGGAAAATATAAATACCGCACGAGACGGACGTTCGCCGCGGTCCGCGGTTGGACAGCGACGACGACGACTTACGCCTATATTATATACTTACACTTGGACCGTGTATTATTGAATTCGTTTGAAACGAGAGATAAATGTTAAAATCATCGTCATCATTATTATTATACTATTATTTTTATTATTATATTGATATTATTGTATTGCCATTTCGAGAATCTTTTTATAGAATCCCTTTGTGTAGGTACCTCAAAGACTAAACGCAATTGTTTTTTTTTTTTTATTATTATTATTATTATTATTTTAATTAGTTCTTAATCATATTATGTCGTGTGTGTATGATATTGTTCATGATGTATTAAACGATGTTTGTTCGCCGCTAAAAGTCGAAATAAAAAAAAAGCAAAACGCCCCCTCACCCCGCCCACGCGATAATTAGAAACGAATACACGTTACTTCGTCGTTGTTATTACTTATTATCATTGTTCATTTGTGCGACGGTCGAAGCTTCAGAACGTCATTTCCAATAACAATATTATTGTTGTGTTTCACATGATTTTTAACGATTTATATATATATATATATATATATATATCATAATAATAATATGACGCTAAGTATGTATAACACAATAAGCGTAATGATACTTTAATCGACGGTTCGTTCGTAGTATTTATGTACTCGTATGTATAGGGCTGTATTAGTATGATTGGACTCGATGACGTGCGATGCGTTTTGTCGTCTTTCCGTGCAGGTCCATATTTCCAAAAATTATTATCTCCAATCGATGTGCAAGTATTATTTACCCCTGCCGTCGAAATCACTTGTTATTTTTTTAATATGTTCCTATAATCTTACACGCATTGTGTTGACGTTCGTGCAGAATATTTGGCCGTAGGCCACTAATCAAATATGTAATATTTAGTATGTATTGTAATCATATAATCCAATACACTACACAGCCCTATATTATTGTGTTTCTACCTCCCATATTGAATGTGCCAGTTATGAAAACTAATAATTTGTAAAAATTAAAATTAAAACCAAGTTACGAAAAAATCATCGATTTCGTCGTACCTTCAGAAAAAATACTCTTGATATTTTAGCGAGTAGAGATATAATTCAGATTAATTGGAAAAATTGTACTTATAGATTTTTTTTTTTTAAGTTATTTATATGTAATTTAAAAATGTGTATCTATATATATATATGTATTTGCGTGTGCATATAATATATATATACGTATGTATATATTATTATTATTATTATTATATTTTATTATTTTTTTATTATTATTTTTTTTTTTTTTTGGCAAAACGCTAGTCATTTTTGCCAGATTTATTAACGTACAGAACCCACTTATAAATATTATTGTTTCAAATTTCAAATGAGACTGAAGACAGTTAAGATAATTTGATTTCAGATTTAAACTTTAATATGTATATGTTTTTAATACATGTGTTTTTTTTTAAATTTATGTGCCAAATTTTCATAATTTTATTTTTTCGCCATAAAGTATATGATTTGTAAATGTTTTAATAATACAAAAATATTATGCACATTCCAAAATTGTCTACCATATAGAGATATCGTTAAGTTTTTTTTATTTTAATTTACTGTGAATTTAAAAAAACAAATTGGGACTGTTACTGTTGCTAATATTATTTTGTAATATTTAATAACTACCTAGGTACATAAAATATATATATATACATTGTAATAAGTTATGATGTCTATAAATTGTTTTTATACTTAATTTTATTTAAAATGAAAAAAATGTGCAATTTGTTTTATATAATTTTATTTGTTTTCATATCTTGAGTTTTATCCCTCCAAAAATGTTCATTTCAACAATTTTGTACACTTTTTTTTGTTGTTTTACCGTCTATTTTATTATAAGTGTTTAAGTAACTTGAACAAAATATTCTGTTGATTCTAATTTCCTCTGTAATATATAGATAAAAACATTTTATGTATAAATATGTATGTATTTTATGAATATTATCGTTCCTTGTCTAATCAATTTAAAATCACTTCTCATTGGCAGAAATTTTAATTTCTTTTTTAAAAGAAGGTTAATATTTTACGGAGCAGTATGACCTGCAGGCTACACGGGTTCCCACCAATATACAATTTAAAACTATTAACAAAAACATCAATATTAATTTTAAATTTTGATAGCCTATTTATATTTTTTTCAGAGATTCCCCAATTTAATGAATATTATAATATATTTACTTTTTTATAAAAATAATGTATTTACAGTTATTTTGATATCAAGATATCAATTAGTGTTTATTTTACTATAAATTTCATAGAACAATAATTTAATCTGTTATATAGCATAATTTTACATAATAATGTATGTTTTAAGTTATTGCATTCAAAAGCTGTGTTTGTAAGTCGCTGAACTAATTAGTAAAGACAATGGCAACTACTCTACTTTAAAAATTAAAGATTTGGGAGTATATATTATTCTTAATCTTTGTTTTCTTTAAAGCCTCACAATTTATTTCATTTTCACTTGTCAGCAGTAAAGTACTTACTGTATAAAACTGACCACTGTTATTAAGTACCTATGGTCATCTCCAACTGAAAATTCTATTTAAAAAAAAATCATTAAGTGTTATCATAATATCATATTTCTTATAAAAAAATAATAAATATATACAATTTAATGAAAATCACATAGTTGTTAAATTGTGTGTATGGTGTATTAATCATATAATTTTTTTCTATGGGGAGGGGTTACTTAACACCACCCTAATACCATCTGTGTGATTCTTTATAATACCTATGTACTATAATAATGTATACATTATTTGTATAATTATTGATCTGTAGTATTCAGAATAATAATTCATTAGGCATCAAGGCAATTTGAAACCATTGATATTAAAACATTATATATTTTAACTTATTATTATTGAGCATTAGAAACTGATAAAATTTAACATAATCTTGAAATAATATTATGGGTATTAGCCATTAGGCATAGTAATAATAATATTATGTTCGGTTAGGTGTCTTATGAGTTATGATCAACAAAAAACTACATCAATAATCGATACCTGAGTACCTCCTTCCTCAATATGGTCGAGAAAAATGTGAGTATTTATAATAATATTATCTGATTTGTAATTTGCCTATTTTTTAACAATATTCTATATTTCTATTAATTTTATTTATCATTTATTATTTTTTATTAACATTAACATAGGTAATAAAACCAATAAATACGTATAATATATATAAAACAAATTCATAGTATTTGATTGGCCTAAAGCCCTCATAGTTATTATAAAAAATAATTTAGCGTGATACTGGTAAGTTGTAGGTAAATGGTAATTAATAAGTAAAATGAAAGATATCACCGGAAAATTGAATTTTTAATTTCGTTGGTTTTTTTATAACTATTCTCACACTTATAATATACCTTTAATGTTTAATGGCTTCAATGCCTTCAACAAATTATATAATAAAAAATACATCGTCTATTGAATTGCATTTAATTTAATAGTTTCTAAAATATTAAAATGTGATTATTTATTACAGCGTATGTGTGCTTATACAACTATAAGAAAAAAAAATCTTAAACAAATATGTTAAAAACATGTATAAATATTATCAATAATCATTATTCGCGTATATGTATTAAAAGAATGTACCTACGTAACTAATAAGTGTGTCAAAACATCAGTAAATCAATTAACTTATTACTTGAAAACAGTACCAGATTATAGTGTTTAGTAATTCCTTATTAATAATTATAATAAATACCTACTAAATACAATTTAATTTATTTTTTTTAAGTATAATTGTATGAGTGATGTAATTTAGATACCTACCTATTAAAATAATATATAATTCAATACGAAATATCCTCCAGGTATGTTGTCAGTTGTTTTTCTAGAACCTGTAATAAGTATTATTTTTTATTCCTATTGGTTAAATGACTATTACGTCTTACAGTCTAAACATATTGAGAAAATCAAGAAATTAAATTAAACTTAAAAGTAGACACAAGTATCAACAATAATCTATTTTCTATCATTATTATATAATATAATTTAATATAACCTTCAATCGTGTAAAAATAACGTATAAAATATATTAAAAACTAATACGATCTAGGTATTCAGAATGTAAAATAAGTTATAAATATATTGTTTTTATACAGTTGTGTACTGAAACTTAATTTCTTATCTTTCAATACAAGATATAAAAATGATTCAACTGCCTATACCTATACTGATTGCAGGGGCGTAATTAAGGGGGGATGATCCCCTTCCCAAAGCCTAAATAATATGTATATTTATTAATTTATTTGTGGCTTGTGAAATTATGTGTTTTGTCGTGCTGACATCACAACAAATATATATTAAATAGAAATTCTATCTATTATATTAATTCATGAATCAATTGTAGGTATTAGGTCCTAATGATGTGATTGACGAGTTGGCTAAATAACCAAGAAAATTAGAAATTCTTTTATAAAGTATAAACATTACAAAAAAAGCTATATATATATAGTATATTATATTATATTAAAAACAAAATAAATTTAATATTTTAATAATTATTATTACATTTAAAAGTAAAATTTAATTTTAATATATTCAATATTTATATTTTGAAGAATTTATTATAATATTGTATAATTTAGATACTAAATTTTGTAAAATTTTAAAGCAACATTTATTAATACATTTTGTGTACCTATATATTATTAGTTTATGGATTTTTGATGAAATATTATTCTCAGATATCAATTATCACTGTTCTTAAAAATCTAAGTATTGTGAGTGAAAAAAAAATGTCTATCCCCCCCCCCCCAAGACAAATTCCTAATTATGCCACTGACTGATTATACCAATATTACAGCTATTTTTATTTTTGTTAAAAACAATTTAATAAATATATATTATGAGCACTTACATAGCTATTAGCTATACTTAACACGATAAACACGCTTTCCCATTATTATTAATTATTATAATATAATTTGCTCTTTGCACACGAAAACAATATAATGCGCTACTGTGTATCCGTGTCAGATTTCAAATCAATCAGTTATTGATCTGATCAAAGATGCGAATTACCATGTATCATAAAGCTAGGTTCACACAGAGACAACAAAATTAAAACAAAATAACTTGTATTAATATTTTTTTTAAATAATTTAGATAGTTCGGTATCTACTCCCGTCTGTAATGGGAAAGTCGAGTTTTTGTTTACGTCTTATACTTTATTATGATGTAAGTATACTGTGGAGTGTGAAACCTACATTATATCGTATTTATTTTTAAGGTATTAGGTCAGTATCTCTAAACGATAAATACAGTTATTTATGATTCAAATAAACTAAAAACCGTGAATATATTAAATTGCTTTCAAATAATAGTTAACTTTAAACTTGAATCGTTCTTTTATAAAAAATGCTCGTCTTGACAACACACACTTTTAATAATGACGTAATACATTAGAAATACATTTTCTAAATTATTAATAGGTAACCTACCTACATAATTATATAAATATAAAAACAACAAGACGATTCGACCTTTAACAGCAAACATGTATTATTATAATTTA